CTTGAGCCCAGGAGTTGGAGGTTGCTGTGAGCGTGATGCCATGGCACTCTACCCAGGGAGATAGCTTGAGGCTCCGTCTCAAAACAAAACAAAACAAAACATAGTGCTGTAAGTTCTAGCCAATACAATTAGGCAAGACAAGGAAATAAAGGGCATCCCAATGGGAGCAGAGGAGGTCAAACTCTTTCTCTTTGCTGACAATATGCTCTTATATTTAGAGAACCCCAAAGATTCAACCACAAGACACCTGTAAGTCATCAAAAAATACAGTAATGTCTCAGGATATAAAATCAATGTCCACAAGTTGGTAGCCTTTGTATACGCCAATAACAGCCAAGATAAGAGGCTACTTAAGGACACAACTCCCTTCATAGCTTCAAAGAAAATGAAATACCTAGGAATATACCTAACAAAAGAGGTGAAGGACCTCTATAAAGAAAATAATGAAATCCTAAGAAAGGAAATAGCAGAGGATATTAACAAATGGAAGAACATACCATGCTCATGACCGGGAAAAATCAACATTGTTAAGATGTCTATACTTTCCAAAGCAATCTACCCATTCAATGCCATCCCTATTAAAATACCAACATCGTACTTTCAAGACTTGGAAAAAAAGGATTCTGCATTTTGTATGGAACCAGAAAAAAAACCATATAGCTAAAGCAGTTCTTAGTAATAAAAACAAAGTTGGGGGCATCAGCATACCAAATTTTAGGCTGTACTACAAAGGCATAGTGGTCAAGACAGCATGGTATTGGCACAAAAATATGGACATAGACATTTGGAATGGAATAGAAAACCAAGAAATGAAACTACCATCTTACAACCACCTAATTTTCCATAAAACAAACAAGAACATACACTGGGGGAAAGACTCCCTATTCAATAAATGGTGGTGGGAGAACTGGATATCCACATGTAAAAGACTGAAACTGGACCCACACCTTTCTCCACTCACAAAAATTGATTCAAGATGGATAAAGGACCTAAATTTAAGGCATGAAACAATACAAATCGTCAAATAAAGCATAGGAAAAACACTTCAAGATATCAGCCTGGGGAAAGACTTTATAAAGAAGACTGCCGTGGCAATTGTAACTAAAACAAAATAAACAAATAGAACTTAATTAAACTGAAAAGCTTCTGTACAGCTAAGGAGACAACAACTAAAGCAAATAGACAATCTACACACTGGGAAAGGATGTTTGCATATTTTGAATTGGACAAAAGTTTGAGAACTAGGATCTACAGAGAACTCAAATTAATCCACATGAAAAAAGCCAACAATCCCATATATCAATAGGCAAGAGACAGGAATAGAACCTTCTCTAAAAAAGACAGACGAATGGCTAACATATGAAAAATTGCTCATCATCCCGAATTATTAGAGAAATGCAAATCAAAACCACCCTGAGATACCATCTAACCCCATTGAGAATGGCCCACAGCACAAAAATCTCAAAACTGCAGATGCTGGTGTGGATGTGGAGAGAAGGGAACACTTTTATATTGCTGGTGGGACTGCAAACTAATACAGTCTGGAAGGAAGTATGGAGAAACCCCAAAGAACTCAAGCTAGACCTCCCATTTGATCCTGCATCCCCTTTACTGGGCATCTATCCAGAAGGGAAAAAGTCCTTTTATCATAAGGACACTTGCACTAGACTGTTTATTGCAGCTCAATTTGCAATCGCCAAAATGTGGAAACAGCCTAAATGCCCACCAACCCAAGAATGGATTAACAAGCTGTGGTATATGTACACCATGGAATACTATTCAGCCATTAAAAAAATAGAGACTTTATAGCCTCTGTATTAACCTGGATGGAAGTGCAACACATTATTCTTAGTAAAGCATCACAAGAAGGAAGAAGCATGAATCCTATGTACTCAATTTTGATATGAGGACAATTAATGACACAGTGGCGGTAGGGGAGAGCAGAGAGAGAAAGAAGAGAGGGGTAGGGAAAGGAAGAGCAGAGAGAGGGAAGGAGGGAGGGGTTCTCAGTGTGTGACACACCTTTTGGGGGCAAGAAACAATTATAAAAGGGACTTTACCTAACAAATGCAATCAATGTAACCTGGTTTCTTGTACCCACAATGAATCCCCAACAATAAAAAGTGTTACTATTTCCGTTGTAGCCATAAAGTATATATATCGTATATAATAAACGATGTAATACATAAATTTGGATTAAATAAAATTTTGTCAACATGTATAAGAATCTCATAATCACTTATTTTTATTTATTTATTTATTTTTGAGACAGAGTCTCACTTTGTCATCCTCAGTAGAGTGCTATGGCATCATAGTTCATGGCAATCTCAAACTCCTGGGCTCAAGCGATTCTCTTGCCTCAGCCTCCCAAGTAGCAGGGACTACAGGTGTCTACCACAATGCCCAGCTATTTTTAGATATAAGGTCTTGCTCTGGCTCAGACTGATCTCAAACTTGTGAGCTCAAGTGATCTACCTGCCTTGGACTTCCCAGAGCATTAGGATTACAGGCATGAGCCACTATGCTGGCTCAAGTTTTACCTCAAGTTACAAAAGTGTTAAAACACTCTTTCAGTCCTTGTTACTATTATTTGAGTCTGGGAGACGATTTGTTTGTTTGTTTAGACAGAGTCTCAGTCTGTTGCCTTAGAGTTCAGCGCCTTGGCATCATCACAGCTCACAGCAACCTCAAATTCTTGGACTCCCACGATCCTCTTGCCTCTGCCTCCCAAGTAGCTGGGACTACAGATGCCTGCCACAAAACCCTGCTAAGTTTTTTTTTTTTTTTTTCTACTTTTAGTAAAGAGGGGGTCTCACTCTTGCTCAGGCTAGCTTCAATCTCCTGAGCTCAAGAAATCTGCCTGCCCTGGCCTACCAGCATGCCAGGATTACAGGCATGAGTCACCATGTCTGGCCTGTTGTTTTTATTGTTTTTTAATTTTAAATCAAGTGTGAAAATTGTATGATCATTGGCATACAATTTTTGTGGTCAAAACTCAATGCTTACTTAAACTTTTTTTTCTGTAGTGTAAATAATAAATTTATCTTTAGATATTATGGGAACTATGTCAACCTAACAAGCCATTTCCTCTGTTAATCCTAGTTCTGTGGTTGTGATGGTTTGCAAACTATTTCTAAACTTAGGTTTGGTACTATGTTTAGAGATGATTTATTTTAGCCTCAACAACAAGATTTGTCATTATTTTTCCAAAAATTTTATTTGGTCAAAAACCTGATTTGTATTATTTTCTTCTCATGCTGCCTTGGTATGCAGAATGAATTGAAAACATGATGTTTGCATCACATGTTTGTTAAATGTGTCTCATATGCAATAAAGTGAAACACAAACTTTTGTTGCATTAAACCACCAAGATCTGTGTAGAAATTTGATACTATAATATAGCCTAGCTTTCCTGAGCAATAAAGATATATTAAATTGCAAGTGGGCATAAGTTAAAAATGAAAAAGATTCTCACAGTAATGTGCAAGTATTGCACATTTTCTCTTATTACAATATGTATAATTTATGGTCTAAGCTAAACACACACACACACATTTATATGATTTTCCTAAGACTAACAGTTAGTTCTACCTTTTTCTCAAGAGAAAGAAGAAAACATAATTATTTGGTGTATATCAGAGAATTTTCAAACTAGGAAAAGTTCAGATCTTCCAGTCCCTTGTCCGTACTTATCTATGATATACTCTTATTCTTTATTTCAGCAACTAAAATTTCATACATCATTCCTGAAAAGAAAGCTTTTTAAGTAGAAATCATGTTACTAAACTAGAAATTGGTTGTTTTTTTTTTTTTTTACCTCAAGTTATTTCACTTTTTATGTGGCAAAGGAAATGCAGGTTGTCCTCCCCAGAGGTCCTCAGAAGACAGCAGTTGAGGGTTTTCTGGGTCTTCCCCACTTCCTAAGGGCAAAAGAGAACCCTAAGAAAGACTAAGTTTGAACTTTTCATCTACCACTGAAAAGCAGCCATCTTTGAAAATACACCATCACTTGTCTATATTAAATCCTTCTCTTCAGTCAAATAACATTTCCTTCATGTTTTAATCCACTTGTTCTTAATGTTTCTAACAGCAAAACCCTCTTTTCATATGGCAGATTAGTAGAATGGATATATTGAACTATCTAAGACTGATAAGAAACAGGACCCAGACATTCCCAAAATATCCTCAGGCACAGCCGAAAACCATAGCTTTCCACTTCATACCAAGCTTAGTTTTATGACGCATCTATTATGTTGTAGATATGATGAAGACATTCAAATAAGTAAAAGACACCATCATTTTTCTCAAGCAGATTCACTATCATTCCCCTCCCCTCCCCTCCCCTCCCCTTCCCTTCTCTTCTCTTTTCTTCAGGGTCTCTCTCTGTTGCCCAGACTAGAGTGCAGCAGTATCATCATAGCTCACTGCAATTTCAAACTCCTGGGCTAGAGCAGCCCCTCTGCTTCAGTCTCCTGAGTAACTGGGAACTACAGGTGCAGACCACTACAGCCAGCTAAGTTTTCAATTTTTTGTAGAGGTGGAATTTGCTTTGTTGCTCAGGTTGGTCTTGAACTCCTGGCCTTAAGCCTCGTCCTCCCAAAGGGCTAGGATTACAAGGCATAATATTATAGCTTCAACTTTCTATAGTTGTTTCAGAATATTCACCTGTGGTTTGTATTGTTCTCCACTCAAATAAGCTTCCTCAAGCATCTGGCTTTTCTGTTCTTCTCTGCCCTCCTTTCATGATGCTTAAGAAAATCTGCACACTTTTGCTTCAACTCTGTTGCATTTTTAATACTTAGCCTCTTACTTCTAGACTTTAGCCCCCATCACTTTCAGAGTTTCCCACCAAATCCATTTTACCAAGAAGCTGTGATATTTCTGCTTCCCCATCCAATCTCCTTCCCAATAATTCATACTAAGTAAATGGAAAAGAGTAGAAATAACATTTTCTATTTTTATTTTATAATTAAGTATATATAAAATGCTTCTGTCTATACTTGGGCCATTGCATATGTTGATGTGCATTGTACAACTGCAGGAGCATGGCCTGCAGGGGCATGGACTCTAGGGTCATGGCTTGCAGGGGCACGGATTGTAGGGTCACAGATTCCAGGGACACGGATGCAGGGGCACAGACTCCACGGTCACAGCCTGCAGGGGGCTGACCTGCACGGGCATGGATTGCAGGGTCACAGACTCCAGGGGCACGGATGCAGGGGCACGGATGCAGGGGCACAGACTCCAGGGGCATGGATGCAGGGTCACAGCCTGCAGGGGCACGGATTCAGGGGCACAGACTCCAGAGTCATACACAATTATGTGGCTGCCTCCAGCCCAGGCCTGCTCTGTGCTGAAACAACCAACCTTGCTAGGATGGGTTTCTCAAAAGATGGTCTAAGGACTGGTACCCTCTGGAGTCCTTTTATAAAAAGTGTGATGCCAAGCCTACTGCATCAAAATTTCTAGGGCAGGGACCTGGAATGTTTTTTTTTTTTTTAAGCAATTTCTTTTGGGGAATTTTATTCACACTAAAGTTTGAACATTCCCCATTTTTAGTTACTTGTTGCTACAGAACAACTCTTCTCCCTGCTAACCCTATTGGCTTTAGACAATGATTTATTACTTTTCATGATTTTATGTGGGTTGATTATCAGTTTCTCTTCTGGTTTCTCTTACGCTTCTTCAGACAGCATCATTCTGGTAGAGGCACGGTTAGATCAAAATGTCCAAAATGGCCTTTCTCGTGTATTTGGCAGTGGTGCTGCCTGTCAGCAGGGCACCTCAGCTCAGCTCTTCTTGTGACTTCCCTTCCTCCAGTTTGCTGAAACAGCTTCTCAGTGCAATGTTCTAAGACAGGAAAGGTGGAAGCTGCAAGCTCCCCTGAGGCCTAGGTCTGCTTGTTCGACATCATTCCTGCCACATTCTATTGTGTCAAAGCAAGTCAGAAGCCCAGACCAGGTTCAAAGTCTGGGAATCTAGGTTCCATTTCTTGATAAAGTCAGCTGTAAAGCATCTGCGACTGCAGTTATTTTCCCTGCACACTGTGGTACTTAATATTCTGAACTTTCTCGATCACAACTACAGGAATTGGCATGGTAATGAAACTTCTGGAATATAGTATTTATGGGCTTTGCTTTGAGATGGAAGTTTCTGCCTGTATTTGCTAGAAAGAGGTTGGTTTGCTTTCAAGTCCTGAGACCAGGATTGTTAATACAGCTAATAATCAGTAAACATAAGAGTTCAACCTGAGTAGCTCAAAAAAATTTTTTTTGTGGTATCTAGATTTCCGTATGGGACCTCTCAAAAGCAACTATGGACTTATTTAAGAAAAATTTGTTACATACAGCAGGATTGCATATTTTTCGCATTTTATTTGAGGTTTTTCCATCAAAAATGTTCTAAATGTTAAAAAGTCAGAACTGGCTAACATAAAATTCATTTCCTCTTCTCCCATACGTATCTTATAGTGATTTTTGAAAATAGCCAGAGGTCTTACTTACACAGGAAAATGATGGAAAGAATAAGGAAGGACTGAAGTCCCCTGAGAAGATAAAATTCAGTGCTCATCTCAGGAGGAAGGGCTGAGATAGCAGACTTCCCCATGGTCACCAAACCTGTTCTGAGTCAGTGACAAAGGGAGGGCAGCCACCCAATCTCCCTTCACATCTCTGCTCCAAGTATTCACCACCGTGTTTACAAAGTGCAGTGAGAAAACAGATCCAAAATTTATTCTTGAAAAGTAACCTCTGACAAAGCTTAAACAGCAGTCAATTCTTAAGAAAAACATCAGCCTCTGAGTGTATGAATCCAATTAATCATGAAAATACTTTTTAATCAATGAAAAGAAAACGTGATTAATTTGCCTATTGCCTCGAGTTAAAGTGTTTTTATATATTTCCTATATTTATTATTTACTTTGGAATTGTATTCCTTTTGGTTACTGAAGCAAAAGTTTGCCAATAATTGTGCCTCCCTGAGTCAGCGAGTAAATTTCCCACTACTCTCCCAGAGAGATGAGTCACCGCCTGGCTTAGGGAAGTCAGAGAGAGCTGGCTGTCTGGGTTGGATGAGAAACAACATTGCAGTCAATCAGTCTAGACGGCTTAGGGGGCAGCCACTTGGCCATTTATGGTATCATTTCCCCTTTTTACTGGGAGAGCCTAGGAAGCAAATAGAGACTCCTGGGAATATATGTAGGATTGCCAAATTTAGTGGATAAAAATACAGGATGTCCAGTTAAATTTGGATTTTGGATAAACAATGCCTACTTTTTTAGTATGCATATATTCCATGCAATAATCAGGACTTTGAGGACACACTTGCACTTGAAAAAAGAAAGAAGGAAAGAAAGAAATCATCATTTACCTGAAATTCGTATTTCTTTGGGCATCTTGTATATTATCTGGCAAGCCTATTTCACCTTTTTTTTTTTTTTGATACAGAATCTCACTACCCTCAGTAGAGTGCTGTGGCGTCACAGCTCACAGTAACCTCCAACTCTTGGGCTCAAGCGATTCTCTTGCCTCAGTCTCCCAAGTAGCTGGGACTATAGGTGCCTGCCACAATGCCTGGCTAATTTTTTGTTGCAGTTTGGTCGGGGCCGGGTTTGAACCCACCACCCTTGGTATATGGGGCTGGTGCCCTACTCACTGAGCCTCAGGCACTGTCCTATATATAAATTTTTTTGCAAAGCTTCTCCATTGCTTCCTATATGCACCAATGTTGAGATTTGCTGTCTTTGATCAACTAGGTCATTGGGACACTAGTTAATATTTACTGTCATCATCTGGGTGGAAGGCAAGACCTTTAAAAAAAAATTGGAGGGGTGGGTGCAGTGGCTCACGCCTGTAATCCCAGCACTTGGGAGGCTGAGGCAGGTGGATTGCCTGAGCTCACAAGTCTGAGACCAGCCTGAGTAAGAGCAAGACCTTGTCTCTAAAAATAGCCAGCCTTGGTGCCCATAGCTCAGTGGTTAGGGCACCTCTACACCCAGCCTGGTGGGTTAGAATCTGGCCCAGACCTGCTAAAGCAAACAAACAAACAAAATAGCTGGGCATTGTGGCAGGCGCCAGCTATTGGGGAGGCTGAAGCAAGAGAATCGCTTAAGCCCAAGAGTTTGAGGTTGCTGGGAGCTGTGACGCCATAGCTTTCTACAGAGGGTGACAAAGTGAGACTCTGTCTCAAAAAAAAAAAAAAAATTGGCATGCTGGTTGTTACATAGTAAGTGTAATCTCGAGAGAATGAAATTTGAAGGCTCACCATCAAGGCCTTTTCTCTGTGTCCACTTTCAGTTATACTTTCTAAGCAATCAAAAAAAGCAGTCAGATGTTATTATTTTAACTGCTATAATTAATATGTTCCACAAACTATTTTCTAAATTTGGGAATTTTATATCTGTAACATCCTGGTTGTGGAAAGATTTTTTTTTCCTGTGAGTCTAAAATAATTTATTTCTCACATTTCTAATGGAAACCAAACAGCTACCGCCTCAGAGTCAGACTGGCTTGGAAAGACCGAATTTATGATCTGTTACACTTGATGAGGCTTGACTAGAGTCAGGGAATGTGACTTAAGGAAGAAAATCCCATCTCTAAGTCTTGTTGCTTTTCCCATAGATACGTCAACAACATGAAAGTATGCTTTGAACGCTACGGATACCGATATAGCACACATATAACACATCCTTACACAAAACAGATGGCTGCTGACACAAATCGGCTGGAGGAACCTTCTATAAAAGCCTTGTTTCCTAACCAAATGCCTTACTCTATTTTTCTCCTACTTTTGTCACTTTGGTGTCATCCATTTTTATGCCATCTTCTTTAAATCACGATCTTTTCCTTTTGCGGATTTGTCAAGACTAAGGAATGCCTTTGTGCTAAGTGGTACCTCTTGCAGGGCTCTTTCCTTACTTTTTCTGTATCTGGGTTCCTCTTCGTCACTTCATTCATCATATATTCTCTTCTCTCCTTCAGGTCTAGTTGCTCATCCTCTGTCCTAGAGCCCAGACTTCAGAACCTGTGACCAGAACTCGACCTGCCGCCCTCACCAACTCCGCCAGCAGCTACCCCACCCTGGGAAACAACCTTAAAAAGTCCAGAGACACTCGGGATTTAAAGGCTGCCAACCTGAAACGGTGACTCAGAGGAGGTACAACAAGACCATCAGCAGGTGTGTGACTAATTGTTTTGCAAACATTTAACTGTGGGCCATATACTTAGTGTAACCCTTTCAGAAACTTTTGGCCCTGGAGGTGGATGAGGGCAAAGTGGAAAGCGGCTGGTAAGCCTCTCAGAAGGAGGAGAAAGTTAACTTCGCCCTGCTTCATACAAAATCAGCCACCAGAAATTGTTTCGTTTTAACCAATGTAGTTTACTCTTGCTTCCCTGAGAGGCTTATCCACAGTTTCTTAAAACTGAGCCCTCGCTACAGCAGTGTGGTGTACAATATGGTAACAAAACTAGTGTAACTAACTAGTATTTATTTAGCACTTGTGTGGTTTTTGTTGAGACAGAGTCTCACTTTATTGCCCTTGGTAGAGTGCTGTTGCGTCACAGTTCACAGCCTCCAACTCCTGGGCTTAGATGATTCTCTTGCCTCAGCCTCCCCAGTAGCTGGGACTACAAGTGCCCGTCAGAACTCCTGGCTATTTTTTGGTGCAGTTTGGCAGGGGCTGGGTTTGAACCCACCACCCTCGGTATATGGGGCCAGCACCCTACCCACTGAGCCACAGGCGCCACCCAGTTTTCTGGATCCTTACCTGTGGCCTTTTGACTGAACCCAGATTTTACAGAACAAACCCTTTTAATAAAGGTGTTTGTCCCATGAAGTCTGAATTCAGTAACAACCCGACAAGTACTATCCACTACTCGTACTTTCCTTGGTGTTGTGTTGTAGGAGCTCTTGACTTAAGCTCTGCCACTAACAAATCTTTAGCATGTTCTCATACCTTCCTTGAATTTTGCATCTTTATTAAGAAATAAATGGTCAAATTACTTCTTTGAGCCTTTTAACCTATGATTTCACATTCAGTGTATACTCCATAATTTGTACATTTTTTCCTAGGCTACATTGGGACACTAAGTAAATGTGTATGTGACATCTCTTTTGAAAGCTTCTGCCTTTCAAATTAAAAAAAAATTATATACATATGTGTATATATTTCCATTTATTTGCCTTTCTTCCAAAGTGCTAATCTAGGAGATGCTTTGTAAAGGTCTGCACAATGAACTTATGCTTTTTTTTTTTTTT